ATGCATTCATCCATACTGAAAAACTTTCCAGCTTATTTTATAATGGCTTCTGTCCGCGACTTTACTCGCGTGGTATGTTGATACTTGATAAAAATTAGCCTATGTGCTAATCCAAGGTATTTCTCACAAATTTAGGGTATTTATCACAAAGTTTCACTTATGTAGGTAATAGGTATTAGTAGGATAGTAGAATAGTAAGAAGTAGGTAGGATTACCTAGGATAATGCATCCAACTTGATCATACAAACCATAGTTCAATAGAAAAAGAATAGAAAAATGACACTGAAATGTAGACATAAGGTAAGCATAATGTTTAAACGAAATAACGCTAAAATGAATTAAATACAATACTAGACATTTTTTGTTTATGATACGTCAGCGATATTGACGCATTGTGAGCAAAAAATGCGCTCTATCTATAAACGACATCGGTCATAATTTGCAGTCCACAGGTCCACTTATTTATTCATGACGATGGTATCAACTTATAAACTTACTGGTGGACGAATTAGGTATCAAGTTATATATAAGTATATATATATGTGTGTACACTAGCGACCCGTCCGGCTTCGCACTGGTGGCACACAAAACTGATACTAAAATTGTCTACTATTTAATTCTTCCTTTTCAATCAATCTATCAATGAATTTATTAAAAACCCACATCCAAACCCGTTCCGTTTCTATTCCTCATCCCCATCCCTCCCGAATTCCCTTCCAAAACCCTAAATAGGAAGGCAAAGCATTCGCATATCTTTTTGCTTTTGGGCGGCGTATTTCCATCTGGTATAAATCTAGTTGTTTGCAACTCTATCATTAAAAAAACTGACAGTAAGTACTACAGTACGGCCGCCGTATCTTGGCGAGTCTCAAGTTAGCCGTTTGTCTGCGAAATGGATCTTTTAGGAACAAAATTGTGTACCTACTGCGCAGCTAATCGGCTAAAGATACGTTGGCGGTAGGTATTGTAAGCATGAGTATAATACCGGTACCCAGTGTCATAACCGAATTAAAGAATGCGAAAAGATGCTCAAGAATACAATGTTGATACCTTTACGAATTACCAATTTAAACCCTAACTCTTTTAGCTGACGATTTCAAAAAGCTTACCTACCTATTTCTAACATTTGCTCAGACATCTCTCAGCTGGTGCTAGGAAAACATTTGGTTCTCTGAGCTGATTTTTACGACTTTTTCGCAATAATACTACACGTTAGGTGGACTTGAAATATTTCTTAATCATTCTTGGTACAACATGTCTTCTGTAGGTAAAGTACAAAATCTTTCAAGTTCACTTTGTTTGTTTTTCTACTACCTACTTTCAAACTATAAACGGGTTGTAAGTTAGTTAGTCAGTCAACAACGTAGGTACGTCTAGGCGTAACTTACCTATATTAATTTCCGATTATTTATTTCCCTTCTCAAACATCTCCATTTCACCAGAACTCAGAAGTACCTAAAACTGCACAGTTCTAACTCATTTCTTATAGACCGTCATTACTGTAAACGGTACATCGTAAAAGCTCTCTAGCTTCCACACAGTACGTACAAAGCATGCAATCAATTAAAATAGTTGTATTCGGAATGTTCACACAGGAACTGTAGACGCGCTTTCAATGGTACCCCATCATTAACACTAGTTTCACAAAACATGACGCAGCCAGCCCGGTGGGCACCCCGCGTGACGCAGGGGCCGCTGGGAAGTCAATGAAACTCCGCTTTGATAGCCAACATCGGCGACACGCACTGTGCGCAAATTGTTGCCTACCTATGCTTACGCAACGATAAAATTGTCGCTTGCATGCCACTACTGTGCAACGTGGCGAATAAAATAACTACTCCGGCTGCCACCGTTTCCTGGGACTTGTCTGTCGGATTGCGAAACAATTCCGACATTGCGTTGCATTATAGAAAACGCGACAATAGCTTTTTGACAGTCAAATATTATAATGACACCTAGCATATTACTACATACTCAAGTAGACATTGCATAAAGACATTTATCCTGACAATACTTACTGTTCTGACTGTACTTTCGAAGTAACACGAAAGGTAAAGGTGAAGAGGTGTTCAATCGTAAATCAAATGCATGTAACAAAGTACAATCTGACGTCTTTATTAGCAAAATAACCTTTATCAACGCCTTACTTGGCAACAACTACAGGTATTTGCACCGAACTGTGAACCTTTCTTGCAATGGCATTTGCATAAACAGATATTCTGTCCAATGTTTGATACTAGTGATCTAAACTTACAATTTATAAAACTAGTAATACGTATCAAGGTAATTGTGTAGTGTGTCAGTGGATACGTCACAGCGCCTGCACAACTGACGGTACATGACCAATCTAAAAGGCTTTACAAATTGCCTGTAAGTCGTTCTTGATGTCGTTGTACTTAATATGTGTTTTTCTGCATATTTAGCCACGTATCAGGTCTAGCAACGCGTTGCATAACATAGCGATTGTCGCCGGCAACAACCGTCCACGGGCCCTCCGTTCACCAATTAATCCGTCCAATTGAATATCTAGCGCAATACCTATGTCACAGCAGTACATTACCTAGTCAGTTGCCCGTCGAACCACCAATGAACGCTTGTTTGATTTACAATTATTGGTTCTATCGTTAAATCAACGTAGCGGACGATATGTACCATTGTTCCCAATGAAAATATTTTTACACTGATGTAATTTTGTAAGTAGCTGATAATAAAGCATTTTGTATTGCAAAAGACTGCGCATAACACCTGTGGATCCAATAGATCGCCAAACTTTGATAAAATTCCCGTAGCGTACAATGTGACTATGATTGCACAGGTAGCGTTTCCTTTGAATTATTAATGAAATCACGGGTAAAACATTCCACAGAGCATTGCATTAGTTGGTGGCCTGTGGACAGGTGTTGTACAACACAATACTTCAAGGTGCCAGTGAATGGTAGCTGCGTGAATGAACACGGCACTAGTACGGACTCACGTAAGTATCCGCGCAGGCGCAGGCGGTCGCGATAATAAACAAACGACCAATAGAACGGACATTGTGCCCCAGTTAGCAATACATTTAATACGAACCAATGTCCTTCTTAATCGTGGATATTGGCTCAAAGGCCATGCGTAGTTAACGATCGACTCGTAGCTTGTAGATTCCTAAGTCGAGCGGCACGATATAAAACCACTTGGATTTTCATTGTTTTCTGTAATAGACGTAAAAAGTGCACGGTCGTGAGCCCATGAACTTGTAACTGGTATTATGAAGGTTCAAAATTCTTTTACGACTTGCTAAAGCAACCAATTCGTACACGTCCAATAAACAGTGCGCGTGCGCACCTCGTGGCTCGTAAAACTGTTCTGTTATACGATGCTACTCACGTTTTATGTCTTCGTCAATGGTACAAAGGTGTGAAATATATCCAACTATCTAATTTAAAAGCAATAACGAACATTTATTTGTATGAAGATTCATTTATTTTATAAATTTGTTGCTGGGTGATATTTTCTCACGCAGGTTGGCGGACGTATGTGTGTGCACTGACCAATGTTAAACAACGATTTATCAGCCGACAGAATAATTTAAAACTGTATGAATATTCAAATAAGGATTTGAATCTGATTATGACAAGTGCTGTAATATCATATTACTTTTACAGCCCATAAAGGTTACATTTATTATTGTAATGAGCCTTAAAGGTGGATATAAAACCTTTAGGGCCATAATGCGTAAGCGCATTCGAACAGGCCAATTCAAATATAGAATGGTTTTTCATAGCCCATAATAACTAGATTTGTGTTTCTTTATATTACTTTACGATATAATGGGTAGTGTCCTTTAGAAAGCTAGTTAATAAGTATTTTCCATATTATTGTGTTATTGAATGAGTCTTTAGATTAAGCTAGGTACGCTTGAAGGCAAAAGTATGAATTTGAGTAAGTATTTAAAAACTACAAATAGATGATAATGACAATTCAATTGAGACAAAGCGTCACATTTTGTATTTAACACGCGTTTTAGGTAAAAAAAATGTAATCTGTCTATCCGTTGGGATTTAGAAATCCGAGGAAGTAAAGTGAAGAAAAGAAAACTCTTCAGACACTCTTTTCCATTTTGTCAGAATCCAAGATACTTATTCCAGACAAATTCAGAAATAGAAGAAGAATATAATAAATCGTTACGAAATTTCGAGAAATGGAAATATCGAGAAATGGATTATATTATTATTCTTCTCCCAGTTAGAAAGATGTCGGAACGGACAATGAATAAATTTTGGTATGGGCCTTACAGGACACGCATAGGGGAACATCTGCTCTTTACAAAGGGACTGGTAAGGAACAATCGCCTATTTCTTTTATATAGGTTTTTATGTGCGTTAAGACATTGTGTTCTAAACTTGAAATGTATTTTTTTTTTTCAAATATAATAATAGGGAGTATAGGAAGAATAGGTCTGTAGGTTAGTGTCAATGGAAAATATGGTCTAGATAATCGACATTAGGTGGAGTTAAATCAAACCTTTTTTGTTATAGGTATTATTTCATATGATTGTAGTAGTTTTACATTACACTTTTGTTTGTATTAAAATGCAAAACAAAAAGAGTCAAAACGATAAAATTAAAGAATAGTTAAATAAACAGAGTAGCAATACATTGTCCAAACGAAAAGTTTATTAAAAAAATCGACAAATATTTGAGGAAAAAAATCTGAATAAATTGTCTTTGTGAAACAAAGTAAAGAGTTCCTTTGTAATCTCGAAGTTTGTTTGACGAATTCATTAGCGGAGCAGAACAAACCGAACCGTTTATAACGTTTGTGTACCGAGTGCAACGCTATTGCAAACAATGACCTTACTGCTCGCTGCTTACTAAGATAATGACAAATTAAATTATGCAACAAAATAAGTTTTTATTAAACTCGATTAGCGTGACCCGAGTCTTTGATTATTGCAAAAAAAAAATGGGAGAACAAACCATGCCTGTTGCAACCAGCGAATTGAACATAAAAGTGCAATAATGATTGTGGTGTCACAAGCTGACAGCAATCGTGACCGCGGCTGCGAGGCGAGGTGGGCGCATCGAGGGCTGCGCCGGCGCACCGAGCTGACACCGCAATCGGCGCGCGCAGCCGAGCGCCCGCGTAATGACAGCTCCGCCGCCATTAGCTCTCATTACCCCACAGTCACGTACCGCAGGCAGAAATGGATTTGTCTTTGCAAAAATAATGATTGTAGATTGCAGACCGCCTTCAAAGAAAATTGGATTCGAATGCGCGTAAACAGGATCCAGGGTTAGACAGTTCACATCGCTGCCCTTGAGGAGCCGATGGACGTTGCACTCGCTCCTGCCCGCCGGGAGCGTTGCGGTGCTCTACATTATTCTCCGTGGTCCGTGGAGAACATCTAGGTAATCGCTTGCTGTGGGTAATTGCATCATTCCATTTTACATTTCTGTTCCACAAACTGCTTTACATGGAAATGTATTTTTTACAAATATAAGTAGATATTATTGCAGGTAGGTAAGTGTCACAAGTAGGTACGTATTATATCTACCACTGAATATCAATATGATAAAATGAAAATGAAATAACAACACAATAAGCTCAAAGCCTTTAATAAAAATCAAATGACATGTCTATATTCAACGCTGAGTTGGCAGTAATACCTACGACACGAAACCTAATTTTATGTTTTGATACTCGATACTGACTTGGCCAATTTAAAACAAGATGGGAAACTAGCAGCACGTTGTACCATTCAAAGCAAATGTTGTAACTTAACGACTGTATGATTCATGCTTCGGTTGCGTAAAATATAGTCGAGGTACAATAAATAAGTGTACCTAATTATAGTGGCAACTTCAAATACGAAGCCACGTACGATGAGAGCTAAAACATCGCAACATTATTACAGAGAGCACCAGAATGTCACGTTAAAGGCAAAAAGGTCGTAAACAGCAAAGCTCTCAATAAATAGCAATCAAAGTTGATTATTGAATCGATAACGTTATGCATCGTCAGTCGCGCAGTCTATAAAATGTGTCCAACACTTCATAAACCAGAGCGGGAGCGACCAGTGCTGCGGCGGGCGGCGCGTTGAAACAAAATCCAGTAGCCAGTAGAGCAGAGGCATCGACCTCGAACATTTCACACATAAATCTTGTTCACAGTCCCCGTGAGCCGTGTTCGGTGTTCGCTAACAAATTACAGCGCGTTATCCGAGCGCGGCCGGCCGAGGGCCGTTATTACAACTAATTGGCGACAATCAAGCCGGCTACTGCTTTTGTGCCGCACAATTTTCTCGTCGCATCACTTTATTTCAGACAATTCAAATTCTAACTTTATTTCAATTTTGTTTTGCCCGACTGCTCTATTATTCAGCTAGGTACCACAAATGGAGTCCTCTTATTCATACATCCTGAGAATCTTGAATGTTTTAAGTTCGGCTTGTATTGTATCGATAACAAGGGGCTACATCAACCGCTCTAAGCGTATTCCGTTGTGTAGACTTGCGTCATATCAGCGCCAAGTATCTCCATAAACAATCAAAAACTAATTTAAATTCCTTTCATTTCGTCGCCCTCGTCACTTTTATGGCATACCTATGCTACATGGTATTTGAATATTTAAAGTTCATGGGAACTAGAGAGAGGGTGCACTTTCCCCCTCGCAGTCTATTTCAAAAAGTGTGCATGTGCATACATAACTAAACAAATAGCATGTGTAATTCTTTATTTTTAGTTTAGTCCTGTTGTATCTCCCCAACTGAACTGACGCATCCAGTCTTCAACATGTCAAACAGAGACACAGGAAAAATTCTCATTTCATAGCGACAGTCGGCAGGCGAGTGCAACATTCGCGCACCGATAACTGTGCGAACATTACCTACTAATGCGTCAAGTGTTAAACAAAGGAAACTTACGTTAGGTCGGGCGGTTCCCTCGACCCTCGCGGTTCGCACGGCCCAGCTAACGCGGAAGCGCAATGTTTACACGACAAAAAAATAGCGTTCGTCGTGAGCACGCGCATACAATACACATAACTCCGTCTTCATGGGAATATCACAACAGCCTACACTCTTGTTTACCAACGCTTATACTTCAGCAGCTTTACAGCCTGCCCGGCTGGCTTTCAGTCGTATGAAATGTACGATGTATTCAAGCAGTCGTTCCCGGCTGTGGAGTTATTCTTCGTATTCAGTTTCCTATTTAGGTATAACATGTTCTGGAATAAACTCGTAATATTTGCGCTAGATACATATCGTTTGAGTATTCATGAGAATGTCCGTGTACAGGCTAAGCAATAAATCTCCATATATTTTGAAGATAATCTCGATATTGAAAGTCTAAATCAAAGGTCAACTGTATCCCAGACATGTTTACATTATATTACATGTCACGATCTCTGGAATGATGGGAATTGAGCCGACTCCGAGAGCGAGTTTCCAGAATACGTTAGGTATATCTGTTTGTTTGATTGCTGTATATACAGTAATTAATTAACATGATTTAAGCCTCGCTCACCAAGCACTCGGTGAAACGTAAAATTAACATAAAGCATACTTAGTTCATTTCGTTACAAGCCTAGGTACTTATTCTTGCAATTAAAGACCCAAGTAATGAATTTAAAAGATAATAAAACACATTCGTATAAAAACCGAGTACCTAGCGGAAAAATTACAAGTAATAAAATTAATGCGATAATTTGTTATGAAAAATGTAGCGGCGAGCGCTGGGCCCGACATCCGAACGCTCCGTGCGTCTTATTCTCACTTTTAACAAAACGTTTACAAGCGGGGCCTTACACAATTATTTTTTTGTCGGACCCGCGCTTTATACCTTCTACCTGGGGCTTGGTACCTGCCCCACTAAACCCACTACCCGGAACACTATTAAGTAACTCTACGACGCATAAAAAAACACGTAGAAATAACAGAGACCCGACACTCTTGATGGACACAGTATAATTTACTTTGAAAAGAATTTGTGAAATTGCTTTGTTGGACTCGCTGGGGTTTTTGGGAATACGACCGTTTCTTGAGAAAGCCGAACGATTTGTTCATTAGGGTGTAATAGCCGGGGTTTGAATGATAGCCTTTTCAAGTTCGGTTTCTAGAATTGGCGGGAATATTATTATTACGGAGCCAGGTATTATTATTTGAACACAAAGTAAGGGCGATAAGTGGGATTAAGTTATCTTTGCTATAGTCTTGGGGCATTTGAAACTGAACGTGAGTTTGATGTGAGAGTTTTCGGAACACATAATTTTTGAAAAAAACCTCGTCTATGTTCTTGAATAAAATATACGAAAATCAAAAGTATAAGGACCATTTCAGGATCTTAAAATAATGTGAGACAATCGTCTTAAAACAATATCTGTAACCTACAGCAAATATTAAAAAAAGAAAAAGAGAGAAAGAAAAGAATCTCCCGTTTAGGGTGATTTATTTGACAGCTTCGAGACCAGTTAGTGAAATTCCCGCCATTCTAACAATGCAAGTTTTGGTCATGTCATTTATTATTTCATTACGTTACAAGGTAAAAGGCAAAACAGGCGTGTAATTCACACTGTTCACAGATGGGAAAAACCAACAAATTGGTATCAAGTTATCCTGCTCAGTTAATGCTCATTCATTAGAAGTTCCACAAGAGCGGTTAAGCCCACCTTACTTGATTTGGAATGTAAATAAAAAGATAGCGAGGTAATAACAAAAACATTAATAAATAGCATGTAAGCTAATCTCTTTAAAAATCATTTGCGATCGCTGTCGGATGTACCTCAATGTTGTGTAGGTATAGCGTCGCCGTGCGGGCCGCGGGGGGAAGGTTGTCGGCCCCGGCCCGTGACGTCACCGCACTGACCACTCCGGGATCGCCACAATGGCCTTTCTCAGAAGGAGCAGATGCGCCTGCGCCGCTATCTGCCGCCCACCCCCCGCACCCCTACACGCTCACCCCCGGTCACACGTGAGGTTTTCGAATGGACGCCGATAACCTTACAGGTCCAATCTAACTCAATGTACCTCACGTTCTTCAAGCGTCGCTCGAGAGCAAGCCGTGACTTAAGCGCTAAAAAAACTTCCAATTCTTTACCTTTGAAATTGATGAAAAACAAGTACAAAAACTTACATTGAACAACCAATAGCTAACCGGCGCGGAGTGTATCTAAATGACATTATTTGGGCGGGTGCGCGCAGGTAGAGGCGCGGAGGTTACCGCGGCGTTAGAGCGCGTACCTGCCGCTCAACGTATCATTACGCGCACAGTAATCATACCCCGCCGTAATCACCGGCTCTGACGCTCTCGTCGCGGACGCCGACTCCTGCGCTGCCTCCCGAAGAACCTCGCAACTTCCATGGATGAGTGTGGATCTAGTCATGATGTTTAGAAACATGCACTAAACCTCCACTCATCGAAAGAAATTGACCTTTCCGCCGCCGCTGATTCGTAGAACCGTCGAGCACGACGCACTGCACGCACTGATCGTTAGCGATGTCACGTTGTAGCACCGAACCGTTCACGAGCACGTTGCCGTGTTTTTTTAAACAATCATGATTGTATGCGGCGCGCTCCAGCGACGGAGCGCGGAGCGCGACCCGCGCGCTCTGGCCGCTCACTATGAAATAAACGGTCGAGATTTGAAATCTGGAAAGCTAGACGCTGCGCGTGCGGCGGAGGGGGGAGCCAAGGGCCTTGGCAGCCAATCGCAGCACACACCGCGGTAGAGGGGCGAACCACCGCGCCGCCCGATATTATCTTTCTATAAGAACGTTATTTTCTTCTTTCCTACTCGCCAGTCCGTTCAACCGACAGCGGAAGTGAAATGAACGCGCGCGTAAACTGCACACTCGGTGGTAGTGCTACTATCCACCTGACAACACATTTTAAACGGCCGACGTTATGAATGAAAGTAAAAAGATACTTTATAGACGATGCAGTCAATCATGTCGTCGTTTGGTACATTAAAACTTAGTTATTACTGTAAGCTGTTTTATTCTGACAATATTAATAGACTTCGTAATCGAATGTACCTAAATGCAATTGAGATAACAAAGAGCGCATTAGTAACATGTTTGTGAGTGCAGCGGTAATTGTACAGTACCGTGGCGGCCACAAAGCGTGCAATTCCGCGTTGACAATAATCACACGGTTTAAATGCGCACATTATAATCAATGAACTATTTCTTGAATATCTCATGCATAAACACAAAGGTATCATTTACGAACCGAGTTGGATCGAAATCCGAATGAGTTGTCAACGTTTCATCGAAATACCAAACGATAACACAAACTTGCAATTAGTTTCACTATTCAATAATGGGTTACGGACTTAGCGGAGCGGTTATTATACCACTTAGCATGAAATTTTTAATTGATGCTTATTGTAGTCAGCCGTCTATATTATATTAAGGACCCAGGGCATTCGACGTAGATAAATTGATTAGTATGCAGGTATATACGAATTTAGCTGAGGGTCGACAGTTTTGTCAGCAATTAAAGGCAGTTAATACACCTCATATAGTAATACCATACCCAGAATATCACACACGATTTAACCATTTAACCAGAAAATTGATGGAAAGTTTAAAAAAATCGTAAGTTTGCAGCGAATGCATTAGAATGCAAATAATAAATGAAATGGTCTTAGAGTAGCACATAGAGGTGCAAATCTATCAATGTATAATATCTAATAATATTTTTCATCTTGCAACACAAGGATGGCAACAAGACGATCGCACATTAAGTATAGAAGGTCCCTACTTACGACATTAACGAGCTTTAACACAGGATGAGGCGAATTATATGTTATACAACGACCGCGAGTAATGTGGCCAAATTATATCTTCGTAAAGATTCGTTATTCGCCGCCTATTTGGGTCAACAAATCAATGTGAATCACCTGTCTCTTTTGCGCGAAGTACTGTAAATACTTTTTGGTTGTTATGTCTTTTTTTGATAAACAACAGTTTTTGTAACTTATCAAAAAGCTTTTTAGTAATTTCTTATTATTGGGTTCTCGTAATGGTAACAAAATGAGATAATTAGACAAAATAAATGAAGGCAAAAGAAAGCAGACAATTTTGCTTCATGATTGAATATTTAAAAAAGACTCCATTATCTATACTAATACTATAAAGAGGTAAAATTTGTAAGTTTGTATGTCGGGGGTAATCTTTGGAACCGCTGGTCGGATTACCAAAATTCTTTCGCTTCAATGTTCCTGAGTGCTATAGGCTATAAAACATCACGCTAAGATCAGATGGAGCTGAGCAGCGGGTGAATCAGCGCGAGAGTAGCTAGTTTAGGATATATAATGATTTTTGGCGACAGATAGAATCGGTAAAATCGGCATTCATGCCAAAACTCATACAGTCCCGTATGAGTTTTGTCTGAAACTGGTTGTTGATTTTGGGATAAGTATAGAAACCCGATAAATCTGTCGTTTATCTAGGCCCTAAACTCAGGAGTGAAGCTGATAAAATCTGTTACTTCATGAATCATGCAATTAATACTTATTTAGTTATTTGACACTTCATTCCGCTTATGTATTAAGCGGACTTAATAACTTAGTCCGCAGAACAGACAGACTGGTAGAAAATGCCTATGATCTTTGGGTGATGCAGATATTGATTGATTGCATGATTCTGTAAGGAAAATGTAATCGTGCAGGATACTTATACAACTAATAATAGAAACACAAATTAAAAACTTAATCATGTATTGATTTCAGACAATTTCACAAGGATTCTACCAAAAGAAAAACAATCATTCACATCATCATCAATTCATACAAAAATTACCCAAATATAAATGTCATACGAATCCATATCTGTTTATTAGTATTACATCATAGATGGCGCCACTTGTCTAGAAGCAATGATAAAGCGCCATGTTACTATTTCTATCTTTTTAATCGTGGCTTGCGCTAGCATTTTGCCGTTTAGCGCACTTACAAAGATAAAAATCACATACACATTACACCCAAACCCGGAACTATAATATGGGGATCACACACATTTGTGTCTTGCTGAAAAAACCTCAACGCCAACAGTAGAGGCGAAGAATCGCCCTTATTGTAGCATTTACTAGGTTATCACTTTATTTTTAAGAATGCTGGTTACCTGTAATTGGCGACTGTATAAGGCCAAAACCTAATATTTCATTGTTTTATTTAATTTGCTATATACAGAAGCTGTTGGTGTACCTTTAAATAAATAAATAAATAAATAAATTTACATTGTTGAAAATCCTATGTTTGACATTGAAGTAGGTTGGTTGTTGTACATGTTTAAATAATTAACAATCTTTAGAAAAAATGACAGTTCAACTAACAGTGCAACCCTGTTTTCAGCTTTTCGCTGGCAATACTTAAATTAGAAAATCTACAGCTATTTATGGAATTGAAAATGGTAGACAAATTCAGTAATTAAAAGGTATTTTTCTTATAGCTAATTATAGGTACCAGGATTGTTGAGATAATCGTATCAATCTTTTTAAAAAGTTATTACTATTAGCATTTGTTGATAACAATATTGAATTTTTACTCACTCTTCTATCAACTCACAGTTCACAATTCGTACACAAAAATAGCAAGCAACAGACCTTAAATCTACTTCCTTAAGGGTTATTATTCTCCATAATAATGGTACAGCCAAGATCTGTTAGCTGCATGTACTCTGCACCACCATCCAACAGTCTATGTGAACAGATAGCCACTTTCTCGCTGATCTCACACTTCTGTTTGTTGGTGAGATGGCCCGCAGTCACCACAGTCGCACTTAACTGCTCCAGGAGTTGAGATGCGGAGTAGGCCTCCATCAGAAAACTGCAGGATTATGTCATAGAAAGTCATATATAAAGATACTTACGCAGACGAGGGACAGAATCTGCTTGTGACCTTGGCAGGTGAAATCGTAACGAAGATTCAATTAAAAAAGAAATAAATAAACAGTACGCGAAGATCATCGAATGAGTGTTACAGTAAATAATATGCATCATAGGACATTAAGTCGATTAAAATAGCAGCTTATGTGAGTCCCACTGCGGCAAGAAATTAGACGAGTTTTCTCGAAATTTTTGCATGAGTAAGGAGTAAATTTAATTTTTTCTTTATTGATTAAACATATTATTTTAAAATTGTTTACTTACCTCTCAACAAACTTCTCCAGTTCACTGTAGTTTTTGACACTAAGGTACTGATTGACAAGGTTCTCAGGAACCAGACCCGTTACCTGTTGTCCAAAGAAAAAATAAGAGATAAAAGCTGAATAAAATAGGTACTTTAGTCACCTAGAAGAGTAGACTTGAGATTTACGTCTACTTCCCTAAAAAGCTTTTGCAAAAATGTTCCTTTTTTATGTTATAGGTCGGCAAACGTTCAAACGAATTAGCTGATGAAACAATGAATTTATTTTTGCAAATAGGCCATAAAACGGTACTTTTACACGTCAATTTATATGTGAAAAATGAAACTAGATGGTAAGCAATCAGTGCCGCCCATGGATACCCGCAACAACAGAGAAGTTACGAGTGCGTTGCCGACCTTTTGGGGATTTGGCATTTGGGAGATTTAGGTATTGGGGATGGATTTGGGGACGGGAAGGGCCTCCGGTATAGGGCATCGGAACCGGTTTTTCCCGGTTCCGAAAGAACCGGGAAATCCCGGTTCTGGAAGACACTGATAGAACCAGTTCTGTAAAACAAGGAACCGGTTTTTTTGGTTCTTACGGTTCTGTCTTAAAATAATATCTCTATAATACTTTTAATGCTAAATATCAAGTTATTATCCAAATTTTCGTTTCCGTTCACGGGATCACAGGATCACGGACCTTTAGAAGGCGTACGAGGCGTCTATGCCAACTCGCAGAGGCCCGTTGAACAACTTTAATAACATCAGCCGGCAATTATCCCTGTATGCACTATGAAAGTGCACCTAAGGATAATCCCCGGTTGATGCAGGACTATTGCGAAAAGTGGTAATAATAATTGAAAGGGTCATGGGTATGGGTTGCTATGGACTGGTGGATATGATAACTATGGAAATACTATGGCCCCTGCCCCTGACCAATATTGATATATACGGATAAACAGGCAGGAGGTGACTGGCAAACCCAATAAAATGGGCCCCCGGAAACTGCCGCTAGCATGTAGCGACACGGAGGCAACATACGTTGAGCTGCTTGGGGAAGGAGAGGCATCCCACGGCTAGCAGAGCAACCCTGGAAGTACGGTCAAGACCTCTACCAGCGCCTTACTCAGATACATCCTTCCACCGAGTCTCCTTCAACTCTTACTCTTATCCAAATTTATTATTAAGAGAGAATATATGCTGTTTTTTCACAGTTCAACTAATAAATAACGTTATAATTTATTATTAATGATAAATCTTTAAGAAACTAACAAGGGACATTGAAGTGAATGCTCTATGACACCGCGCAAAATTCAAATTTTGGACATAATAAAATAACAATAGTTACAAAATAGTTAAAAAAAATATGTTGTAATTTGAGTGTAATTCAAAAAAATATAAAAACGAGACTTTTCAAATAGAATTTATGATAAAACCCGAAAGAACCGGGTACCCGGCGCTGTCTATAATTTAGAACCGAAAGAACCGGTTCCTAAAATAGGACCGGTTCTCGATGCCCTACTCCGGTAACCTCACACACACGGCGAAACACAACGCTGTGGTTGTTTCACGCCGGTTTTCTGTGAGGCTGTGGTTGTTTCACGCCGGTTTTCTGTGAGGCCGTGGTATCACTCCGGTCGAGCCGACCCACTCGTGCCGAAGCATGGCTCTCTCACACTTAAATGTATGCTGCTGAGAAGCAACTCACAACGGGTGAGAGAGCCATAATGTATTTGCCGATGTCAACGCATTATAACGTAGTCGATTTACCATACTTTATCTTCCATTCTTAATTAGACTGACTTGTATTGACATGAGCGTTTTGAAAATGAGTCTCTTAAACAGATATCTTCCGACTTAAGATCTTGTGCAGTAAAATTAGGAGAATACTAAGTCTGTTTAAAAATATCTAATTAATTTTGCTTTAATAAATTGTGATGACTGTTTAAGAAAAAAAGCCTAACCCAGCGAGCGATAGCGAGAGCTATGAACTTACTCAAAGAAGTCACCGACATCTGACATAGCTCTTAAAATCTGCAAGCTGAAGAGGCAATGGCCAGGCCACATCGCGCAAAGGGCTGACGGCCGATGAGCCAGAAAAGTGCCTGAGTGGCGACCACTGACCGGAAGACCTTCTACAAGGTGGACCGACGACCTTGTCAGATACGCGGGAGCTAATGGATGAGAGTGGTGACTTGTCATTCGGCGTGGAGAGCTAAGGGTGTGGCCTTTATCTAGCAGTGGTCGTCTTTTCGCTGATGATGATAACGATGAACAAGAAAACAGGCCAAAACTTCTCAGTTGGGTAGCTGCCATCATGAAATGAGTTCTAGAACTGCTTCAGTCATGATCATACCTCCACAAGTCCTTCAGCTGTGATCTTGCCCAGAAGCCGCTGACAACACTGCATGGCAGTTAGGGCTCGCCGCAAGTCTCCCTCGCACGTGTCCACTGCCTGGTGCAATACTTCGCCATCGCCGACATCTACGCCTTCTGCTTCACAAATCTCCCGTAATCTGCGTTATTGACAAGTCGAATTGTTAATAAGAAGTCTTATCCGCCATAATAAAGGGCTGCCATGTTGATCGGATGATCGCAATTTCGACTGCCAAGCAAGAGGTATTTATTGATTACGATTCCTTAGTCAGGCAAAGTAATAAGCTTTTTTGGTTTTCGTATACCTGTTTCATTTCCATTTAATGAAACTCATAGGACTTATCAACATTATTGGTAAAAAGGGGACGTTGAATTGTCTATACCATAAAGCTGTAGAGTTTGTTTTTTTTGAATGCGTTAATCTCCGGTTTTTTTTTATTTTTTTTAAAACAAGCATTGGCCTCCACTAGTATTTTCTCCTGTATCGTGGGTGCATTTACAAACATACAATTTCATGTGCACATGACACCCAGACCCGGAACAACAATTTGTGGATCAACATCATCACACAAAGAGTTGTTCCGTGCGGGAATCGAACCCACGACACGTTGCACAGCAGCCAGTTGTCCGGCCACCGCACTAACCGTGCAGTCAAAGTCAACTGCTTGTTCGTCCATTTGTTGGTTAGTCCATTTATAGAGGAAGGCTATAGGCAATAAAACGATTAGTAGGAGCCGAGCAGCGGGTGAAACCGCGTGAGAGTAGATAATGTTTTTTCATGATTGCAATTACAAATTATAAGTAAGTTCTTAGGTAATACACGGACAAACTCATACCTCTTTATAACATTTTCTCTTGCTAAAGGCTTGAAGCGGAACTTGGAACATCTGCTTGTGATAGGTGGAATAATCCTGGAGACATAGTTGCAGATGAGACAAAACCGAGTGGTCCGTGTCTCTCTCTCCATAGTTCGCCTCAGCGCGGCCTGAGCTGCAGTTGTCATGGAGTCCGCTTCATCCAGAATCACCAGCTTGTATGGCGGACATGGTCGACCACTGGAATTATGAAATTGACAGTCTGTTAAAGTATGTAGTCCTAATGGGCCGGAAGTTAAAGATGCCCACTTCTCGTGCGTGAGGGAGGCGAGAAATGTAGCAAGAAGAGAATCTATGTGACTTTTTCTGAGTTATACATACCTACTTTCTAAGATTATTGAAACACTATTGGTATCATGTTTGACCATATGTTTATTATAATTATGATTAAGTTAGGGAAAGTAAAGTAACAAAACTTACATGGCATAACGAGTCTATGGCGGCCTATTGCTTATGATAAGGTTATCTATCCTTGTTTGGATATCACATAAAAAATTCTTCATCATTATCATCATCATCATCAGCCTATAAATGTCTGGGCCTGGGTGTGATGTGTATGTGAAATTGTATGATTGTAAACATACCCACAACACAGGAAAAAATCCTAATGTGTGACAATGTTATTTTACAAAAGAAGGAAAATGAGTGTCTACTGGAGTGCAAAGGTGTCGTCGCACACACAAAGGGTTTGAGCATTAAAGTAGATGTGGTAAACATGCTTAAGGCGAATTGGCGATATCAAACTGATAATTAGAAATACAAACAGGTTCATCGTAAGACAGCAGTGTTTAAATAATCTTAAAAAAGTAATATGTTTTAAATTATTTATTCTTTGAATGTGGTTATCTATGCACTGTTTTTTCACCATAATATCTACAAAATTGGCTTAGTTTTAAATAATTGATATTAAAATTTCAATAGGTTTTCATTTTATATTGTTCAAGCTATTTTGAACTAATTGGATGTGAAGACTAAAAGGTAAGAAATAGAAAATGCTCAGGACATAATCTATTATGATGTGTTCTCTTCCAGCTTCAGAATGATTACAAAGAAGTTTGTAGTTTGAGTTGCTTTCCCCCCTGGACTGTTGCTTCTATGAACCAGATTGTAAAAGAAATGGTATTTTTCTTTAATCTATTCTGTGAAACTGAATTAAAATTTCCTAATTTCATTACCCAACTTGATTTTAATTTAACTCAATGTCTGTTTAATATCATATCAAGCTTACAGTTATTATCGCTAGAGAAACTAGATACTATTTTTTTTAATAAACATTAGGATTTATGCTGTGCCATAGGTGATTAACAAACATACAATTACAGATGCACACCACACCCAGACCCGGAATAAGAATTTGTGGACCACACAAAGTGTTGTTCCGTGAGGGAATCGTACCTGCAACATGTTGCACAGCAGCCAGTTGCCCAACCACTGTGCTAACTGTGCAGTCAGCTGTAGTTTGTTGATAGTACTTAAAAAATGTTTTACTTACTCTGGTCTCTTACTGCTAACTGTGAGTTGAGCAAAGGTCTTTACTTTATCCCTGATAACTTGGATGCCACGCTCGTCTGAAGCATTGAGCTCCAACACACGGTCCCGAGAAATATCGCCAAACAATTGCCGAGCAGCTGCAAGTATGGCACTCGTCTTACCGGTACCGGGAGGACCGTAAAACAACAAATGAGGCAGATCTCCGCCAGATAAACATTCCCTCAACACTTGCACTACTTCTCCTTGGTCTACAATATCATCGATAGTCTTCGGCCGGCTGAAAAATGTGTATTCAATTATATTATAACTCTATTTGGGTTTATCATCCAAAATACATAGGTAGTCAAATCTCTACTTACTATTTCTCAACCCATGGTGCCGGCGGTTTCTTCTTGCCAACTGTTTTTACTCCCGAAGATGATGGTTTGTCCGATGCGGATAGTTTACCGCTTTTGAGGAAAGCCTGCATCTTTCTTTATTTACTGAATAAAACTGAAACGAGTAAAGAAGACTAGGCACTAAAAAGCGCGGTTTATCATTCAAACATCAAATTCAAATGACGTTGATTGACAAATGCCAAAAATGACTGTGACAGCAAACTGTCAGTGTAATTTACTAATCAAAAAAGGTGATTTGTTTATGTCCCAGTTAGGGTTGTAGGCACTAAACTTGTAGGCTTCGGCAAATATAAAAACATTTTCTCTGTAGATAAATAAGATTTTGTAATTTGATTAATGTTGCAAATGTTGCACTTTATTAATTTCCTTTTATTGGCTATGCCCAAATGTATTTGTTTATGATGTAAATTATTTATTAATTACTACAATTATTACAATTATTTACTCTGTGGCAAGCAACATTCGACCGGCAAAATAACTTGTATCCAGGCCATAAACTCCCAAGAAAAAAACAAAAAGAGCGGCAAAATATAGTTATGTCAGATGTGTGTTGTTGTATTTTTGTATTGCGAATTCTGTAAAGTGTGCCTTGTATAAATCACACAAATTAACCATAATTTTTAAATAAGCATTTACATTTCTTAGAAAATGTCCACTAGGTCAAATACAAAAAACAAAATCCCTTCACCGCCAGTTCAAAAACGTGTAGAAAACTCGTGGATTTTACTCGTAAAAGGTTTGAAATTGTAAATTATTAACTTCACTTGCTCATCCCATGTTTTTTGTTTTCTGTTACATAAAAGTTTGATGAACAAACAAAAATTGGATGAATGTAACAAAATTACGTATACTAAACAATCCGTGTTTAATTTTACAGATTCTTTGCTAGAGAATAAAAATTTCAATATTGTTACATTACCGCATCCGGCGAGTGGAAAGCCTGGAAAGTACTGCTTAGATGACATAAATAATAAAATCTACGAAATTATTTCATATGATGAACCATACAGGTCTTGGTTTATTGGAGAAACAGTCAAATCTGATGGCAGTGTTCAAATGTGTACACCTGTCAACCCTATATTTTTAGGTAAGAATATTATACAAAACTTCTTTGAAAACTTGAGTTTGCATTAAATCAAATGGCTTTATTTTTATCCAGATTGACTCTTGAAAAGTACTGTTCATTCATAAAAGCTGTGGTTACAGTCACGGGATTGAAAATACAGGTTCCAGTAGTTGTATTACTTACTTTACTTATTCAAAAATTATTTCCAGTATTGCCAAAGTTGAAAGAACAATGCAGCAGTAGAGCAGTTCCGTTAGAAGACTTGTTATCTGAAAAAGGATATGACAAAATCCTTGATTTTGTGCCCAGTTTGGACTGTATAGCTGACTTGAAGGTGATTTATAAATAAGACTGATGTCCTCAATACTTACCTGAAAAATGACTGATAATGCAATATTTTTTTATTCAAAACTTTTTAATAATTAATCATACTCTTAATAAATGTGGCAGTTAAAAAAAAGTAATAAAAAGTTGAAAAAAATTATGTTTCACTAGCTTTTGCCCATGACTCTGTTGGGGTGGAATAGTGACTTCCTAAAGATTTTTGGTATAAAAACTATGTCCTTTCTCGAGTTCCAAACTAAGTCTGAACCAAATTTCACAGAAATTGGTTCAGTAGTTTAGGTGTGAAGAAAAAACAGACAGATAGAGTTATGTTTACATTTATAATATTAGTATAGATATTCCAACCCATCAGACATTTTGAAATGGGTTATTAGACTCTCAAAGCTATTATGCACTACTGAAAAATACTTTATCATGCACTTAGATCTATTTTCTGGCTACCAGGTCACTCTGAGTTAGTAAATCCATAAAATGTTTGTTCCATGTTCTGTAGATTTTAAAATTTCTGTTATGTATTTGTTCCTTACAGGGTTCTCCAGAATTAAAAGCTTATAAATACAATGAGGAGAAGACCCTATCATGGTTGAAAGATAGAGTCCACAAAGTTTCGAAAGTATTGAGACAGAAAAATATCCATGTCACTCCAGGAGCTACTTCTGCTACTTTTGTAACCAGTACTATCAGTAATGATAATGTGGACGAAGGTATACAACTCTACCAATCTACTTGATACAAAATAACATTAATTTATAATGTGCATCTATATTTTATTAATAAAAAAGAAGTAATAAAGTCAGAGGTTACAGCCTGACTAGTTACTTAATAAGTAATTATATCTATGAAACATTAATTTCTTACAGAATTCTTCTTAAAATATGCCTTTGAGTTAATATCTGGTTACCTACAAGAAGAAATGGTACAATTATTAGAAAAAGTATTCAACTTCAAGCCGGACTTGATTGAAAAAATTGGTAACAAACGCAAGTCAGAGGTTGATAGTAACGGAATAAATAAGAAAATCAAACTTGAAGATGCTGATGACAAATCCAAGATAAAAATGGAAATAACACCTGACAAAAATACAAATGGAGTGAAAAAAGAAAAATCATTAACAGCAAAAGAAAAAGCAATGCAAAAAGCTGCCAGTGGGACAAAGACTATATCATCATTTTTCAAAAAGAAGTAATCATTAATTGATTTAAATCTGTTTGACAATAAGAATGAACAAATAATATTTTTGTATTATAATTATATGCATTAATTTTATTTAAATATGACGTGCGCATGTGACTGAGCAGAGAAGATATTTGTCAATAAGCATTGACTGTGTAATGTCGTTGATCGATTATGAATCCTGGTTAAGGCTGCAAACTATTCAAACGCCCTAAAATAGTCATGCGAGTACGTTGTATTATATGAAATGAAATATGTAAATACCTACATCATAATTTTTTTTATATAAATATGTAAATGTTTTCAGATTTGTCTTATTTAAAGCCACAATAAAAGACTCTACAAACATGCTTTATCCATTCCTCATTTATATTTTTAGTACCTATTTTTAAGTCATATTATAAGGAGAACAATTTTATTCATAGCTAGCGTAATGAATGGCGGTAGAGTTAGCGAAAATAATATTACTTCATTTACAACTTCATCAATTTTACGTATCTAATTGGAGTACCTTCCCTACTACCTATTTAATTGGTTTACCTGGCCCTTTTTAGGCCAGGTGAAATATGCAGAGTGGAGTTCTTTACACAAAATCTCGCTCGTTTCAAATGCTGAATTGCATGCCGCATAGCTCTCATACCAGCTAACTCAATAGTTGAATACTCTTCCTAACCCCAAAGTCGTTTCGGTTCGGAAAATTTGTAGATTGCGCTGCGCTTTAAATGCGAACTTCTCTTCGAACACAAATCTAATGAACTTTTGGATATAAAAATGGGCGCTGAAAATATTTAATCTACCCGCCATTGAGTTTTTGAATGTAGGTGTAGAAACAAAAAAGTCAGCTGATGAATATATCGTGCTTGTGAGTCATTCACAAAAGAAATAATTCACAATAATGTTTCAATTGTTGAATTATAATTTCAAAATGAGATCAAATAGTACATATAAAAAATGCGAAAATAATAACAATATATCGTTAAGTTCTAGTGTAGTACTATTTTCTGATTGATATGAATCAGTAATTTCCAAGAAAAAATATTGGCAACACTGCTTTGGTCGCCATTAACAAACGTCCATCCGTTTCGGACTTTCAGCGGATTTTTGTACAACACGGACATTTAGAAATAATTAAGTGAATCTCGGACACTCGGGACCTTGTGTAGTGAAACTGATGTGATTAATTTTGATATTATCGTGTCTAAAGACTTCTATAAGTGCTCTATATTCTCAAAATCGCGGCCAATGTCAGCAGGCGTGTCAGATCAGGTATTTCGCATTTACGGTATCTCTCTTCAATAATTACACGTTGAAATGTTGTATTGCATAGCTAACATTATTGTTTTGTTCCTTGTTTCATGATTGTGGCGATCGTAGCGGATGAAAGGGCAAGGGAACCAAGGTAAAGATGGTATCGTTGTGACGTTGCAAAGTGTTTTCTCCATAGGTGGAACAGCGTACCGGTCGGCTTCGCCTTCTGTTCTCGCTGTTGCGATGCTGCGATTAGCGTCGTAATCTTTTCAGCTTTCACTTTTAATATTTCATTCGTGATTTTATGACTATGAAAACCTAATTAACAATAATACAGTAAAAATCATAACTGTAAATTCTGAATGTTGTCAGATGCATGGTAATTTTAGGTGAACAGAATATAATGATTATGTTGTACACCTGAAAGGATGTAGGTGGGTGGCCCACCCAATCAGCCCACAGACATCTATCTAAAATAACTTGAAAATCTTTACCACCCACACATAATCAATGACTCTGTCTGTTACAATCTTGTTTATTATGTGGGAGAAGAAGTAGCAGACATGTATTATTATGTAGACAGTAAGTTTTTTAATTTATTATAATCGTTTTGTCATGAAATTCCACAGCTTGTTGAATGTTATTTCAGTTATTCAGTGTGTATTTGATTCATACAGTTCTGTGCTTCATCATTTAAGTTATGGGTGTATTTAACTCTCCTTATTGTTTGCCTAATCAAGCAATCTGGCAACCATTCAGTGTGTAAAGCTAAATATGTGTTTTATGTTAATGATTCAAGCATTCTCTGATATGTTTTGACACAAAATGTGTTTCAGGGAACCACCCCTTTGCAAATACATCTAGAAGTTATAAGGTTATTTTTAACAAGAATCCAAAATTTAATCTTTACTGTCTACTGTAATAATTAGAATGTTTAGACAGTTTAGACAAAGGCTCTTTACATTTAAAAATGTTTGGCACATATTGTTTATTATCAAGTAACAAAATGATAAATAAACCTCATTATTATTCAATACAAACATGTTATTGTGTGTGTAAAAAATGATGGACTTTGTGTGTAACAGACAGACATAAAATATATCTGGTAGTAGTATTGTCCTATACTGGGAAGTAAATGCCAAGTAGTGAATAATGATAAGGAAAGTTCATAGATTTAATGTTTATTTATAGAATTTCAGAAAGTATTTAAAAACAGAGACAATCTGTTCTACTAGCGAAGTAAGCAAGGCTCAATGTAAATTCTATTCCATCTCATACAGTGGAAGTCAAGAGATTAATGACCAATGTGTCCATTGGAAGATCTATGTATGATGTTATAGATATTGTTTTCACTGATAAGAACAGCCTTTGTTTCATATTAACATTTGATTTTTTAATCTTTTAAAGCATCTTTATCATTGACCTAAAAGCGACCACTGCTGAGCAAAGGACTTATCTCACAGAATGAGAAGGTCCTGCACATAGTGTTTATATATATTTATTCTACAGAATTTAATAGACTCCAACTTTTTCTTAGTGAACACACTTTCGTAGTGTCAAACGGACTTGCGTTGTGGTTCTGCTATAAATAATCATTGTAGACAATTGATTACTTCAATTGTAATTAATAAAGTGTGTAAAACTGAATGTTAGCACTCAAGGATAGAGAAACTGGCATATGCTTCAATTTGTGTTAATGTTATCAATATAAGCAGTGAAATGACAAACATTGCAAATTATTTCTAAAGGAATTATAATTGAAAGCAAGTATTTTCAAGTCATACTTTTGTGCTTGTCGTGGTAATCTGGAGGTTAAGGCATGCTTCTCAAGTATGTGGGTACTGGTTCCCAATCTGGCAAGCACTGATTTACTCGGAGTATGATGTACTTACTTTATGTAATTGTTTTCAAGTCAATGAAAAATGATGTTTACAAACATGGACTCATAATTTGTATTATATCTGAAATTGCCAATCCAAATTTGAGCAAACATTCCAATAAGGAATTGAACTTTAATTGGAGATTAAAGCTCAATAGACATGCTCTGTCTATGGACAAGAGTCTTATTACTTATGGGCTATCAATGATTATTGTTTAAATATTTATAACTTTTGTAGTAGGCAGGTGATTGTTATTCCATTTAAAATACTGATATTCAGTCTAAACTGGTTCAGATTCATTCGGCCTTATTACAAAACAAGGTTTTACTTTAGTCTACTAAACCATTGAACCAGTTTTCGTATTTCGAATTGAAGGTAGATGACAATAAGATTCAAAATTCAAAACCCGACTCAATGGTTTAAAACTTTAAACCTTGACTAAAGATAAACATTGTTTTGTAATAAGGGGGATTATTCCTAAACCTAGTTGGTAAAAGGGCATGCGAAATATTGTTGACAGAAGAAAACAATAATTGTAATACATTAATTACATATTTTATGTAGATATATATATCATGATATTGATATTCACTGTTCATGGTTCACAGGTACCTAAATTCGATACGGTAAAGTGAAACCATATGTGTTACGTGGTAAATAATTCAAATAATAGTATCTGCTTATTAGGTAAAAATCAATTTATGGTTCATGTTTACAAAGACTATTGTTGCTTGTACACTTTAAACAACTTTTTAGATGACTCATTGATAATTCAAAACAAATCAGTTTGTGCTTTCACATACAATTTGTTATGGTTGTACAACATTTTTAAACAATATCTATGTATGGCTTTGTATATTGTTCAAAGTACATACATTTTAAATATACACCAAATGTACATAAGAAACTATTAATGTGCTAATGGTAAAATAAATAATGTTGATAGATAACATCACAAAAGTCTTAAAAATTCTTTCTTTCTCTGTTTGGCAAGGTCAATTAAAATTGTACCCAGTGATAAGAGAACAGGGCTTTTGAAACTAGTTATTTTGTAAGCACTATTAAAATGTACTTAGAGAACATTATTTATTAGTCTATTAGATGTTTTAATGTGCATATAAAACTTCTAGCATTCACCTATTGTTTTTATAATGGTGCAGATATTTATAGGTATTATGTCTCTAGTCGAGTCATTGTTTACAAAATTATATCAAGATCAATCAATTATAGTACATGTATAAATTTGAAAATATTTTGCCTATATGAGTAAGTAGTACCTCTAGGTATCGATTCCTAAAAAGTACGATTTAATGTGAATTTTAATGATTTTAGTAGTCACCTGTTCTTATTACTAACATTCTTTTAATTGTGATTTATAGTGACAAATGCACCGAAAGAGCAACATTTAGAAAGCGGCGGCGACGAGTTGGCAGAGGTGTCATGGCGCCACCAGCAACAACCATCGTATGCGCCACCCATCTCGTCTGCGGCCGACCCCTACAGCGTGGCAGGTAGGTACATATGTTTCAATATTTTCAACCGAGCCTGCACTGTAGTACATAGCCAAACACTTAAAGATATCAGTTATACAAACTATTGCACACACAAACGTATATTAGTCACATCCCAAGCATAAATTCAATTGGCAATGAAGTCCCTGGAAAGATCTAGAATTGTATTCTCTGTATCCTGTGTCTAGTGATAGCTCCTTGAATCCCACAATTCTGTATTATCTACAGTCATGCCCCTGTGCCAATATTGGAATAAGGTCAAGTCCACAATTAGTTGAACTTTGACCTATAGAGAACTGCATCGATCTCAAAGCCTTTACTGTGTTCGCGTTTATGTTATCTTAACTGCAGACGAAATGTTCTAGTCTGTGATGTTAATATTTTTATGCATCAGATAACATAATGCGGGACTTCATTAACAAATTGTGCTAATAATGTTGAGGCTTATTGTCGTAGAGTGAAATAGATTTGTAAAGAAACATCTTTTGTATCTTGTTGCTTTTAAATTAGTTAATTTATAACTTGAAAGTGGGAAATTTGTTTAGACACAAATATTTTTCCTTATTGCAGGTTATTACGGTACAACAGCACTTCCTTATCAAGCTTTTGGAGTCGGGGATGGGACATGGTCCACCAATGGAACAGACCCGATGACATTCGGAGGATACAATCCTCACGATTCTTATGGAATGGATGGTAGCTAGTATTCAT